CCCCAGCCGAGCGCCTTTCCTTATTGGTTCCTCCACCACTTGCACCCGAAAGTTATTATCGATGCTCTGTAGGAATCTCCTGGATTGCACCTGCCTAGCTGTATGGTCTTCCCAGCTGATGTCAGGGTGGTTGAAGTCCCCCATGAGAACCAGGGCCTGTGACTGTGAGGCTGCTTGCAGCTGCCTGTAGAAGGCGTCATCAATTTCCTCCTCCTGGTCAGGTGGCCTGTAGTACACACCCACCGTAATGTCAACCCGCATGAGCCTGTCCCTTAATTCTAACCCATAAGCTCTCAACTCCTTCTTCGTCAACCCCCAGGCCAGTTAGTTGCTGAGACACTCTCCGTGATATTTGAAAAGTCATGGCAGTGGGGTGAAGTCCCTCATAACTGGAAAAGGGGAAACATAGCCACTATTTTTAAAAAGGGTAGAAAGCAGGATGCTGGGAACTACCAGCCTCTCAGCCTCACCTCTGTGCCTGGGCAGATCATGGAACAGAACCTCCTAGAAGCTATGCCAAGGCACGTGGAGGACAGGGAGGTGATTTGAGACGGCCAGCATGGCTTCACTAAGGGCAAGTCCTGCCTGACTAACCTAGTGGCTTTCTGTGATGGAGTGACTACATCAGTGAACAAGGGAAGAGCTACAGACGTCATTTAGCTGGACTTCTGTAAGGCCTTTGACACAGTCCCCCACAACACCATTCTCTATATTGGGGAGATACAGATTTCATGGGTGGACTGTTTGATGGGCAAGGAATCAGTTGGATGGTCACATCCAAAGGGTAGTGCTCAATGGCTCGATGTCCCAATGGAGATCAGCGACAAGTGGTGTCCCTCAGAGATCAATATTGGGACCAGTACTAGTTAATATCTTCATCAGCAACATGGGCAGTGGGATCAAGTGCACCGTCCGCAAGTTTGCAGATGACACCAAGCTGTGTGGTGCAGTTGACATGCCTGAGGGATGGGATGAAACTCAGAGGGAACTGGACAAGGTTGAGATGTGGGCCTGTGTGTACCTCATGAGGTTCAACAAGGCGAAGTGCAAAGTCCTCCACCTGGGTCAGGGCAATCCCTCATATGAATACAGGCTGGGGGATGAAGGGATTGAAAGCAGCCCTGAGGAGAAGGACTTGGGGGTACTGGTGGATGAAAAGCTGGACATGAGCTGATAATGTGAGCTTGCAGTCCAGAAAGCCAGCCGTACCCTGGGCTGCATCAAGAGAACCGTGGCCAGCCGGGTGAGAGAGGTGGAGAGGTGATTCTGCCACTCCACTCTCGTGAGATCTCACCTGGAGTCCTGCATCCAGCTCTGGATCCCTCAGCCCAGGAAAGACATGGACCTGTTGGAGCGGGGCCAGAGGAGGCCACGAAAATGACCCGAGGGCTGAAACACCTCTCCTGTGAGGCAAGGCTGAGAGTTGGGGTCATTCAGCCTGGAGTAGAGAAGGCTCCGTGGAGACCTTATTGCAGCCTTTCACTACTGAAAGGGGGCTTATGAGAAAGATGGGGAAAAACTTTTTAGTAGGGCCTGTAGTGATAGGACAAGAGGTAATGGTGTTCAGCTAAAGGAGGGCAGAGTCAGACTAGATACAAGGAATAAATTTTTTATACAACAAGGGTGGTGAAACACTGCAACGGGTTGTCCAGAGAGGTGGTAGATGCCCCATCCCTGGAAACATTCAAGGCCAGGTTGGATGGGGCTCTGAACCGCCTGCTCCAGTTGAAGATATCCCTGCTCATTGCAGGAGGGTTGGACTAGATGACCTTTAAAGATGCATTCCAACTGTTATGATTTGGCTGTGGCCAGCAACAAAAGCATCACGCAGCTGCCCCTCCCCCTGCCGGGGGGCGGAGGAGAATGGAAAGAATAAG